GGGTAATGAAACGTTTGCAAGAAAAGAACCAAGCTCAGAGAACCCCAAGGACTCCACAGTTCAACCCTGAGCTACACATATTCACTTAATTTTCCCTTTTTTGAGCAGAGTCTTGGGGAAGTAGTGGTTTGGTGCTTGAGAGTTTCAATGATTCAGCATTAAGCAGGTTATCTTGGCTGGGTTGGGCAACATTTCACAGGGAAATTGCATGCATAGCCTTTTATAGTTATGGCTTTGTGTATCAATAGTTTGGGGTTACTCATTATTTAGCACTGTTACTTCTAGTGGTGGTCTTGGAAAGCAGAACTTTTTAAATTAGGTTTTGGTGAATAGTAACTTGTAGTTTATCTTTAATTTTTGCTGGTTTTGTTTTGCAGTGAATTTTTTGAAAGAACTATTCTTTGTAATAGTCTCGTCTGGAGTTGTGCTGTCACAGGTAAATCTGGACTTACCTATCAAGAAGCACTAGAATCTGAAAGGAAAGCCAGACAAAATATCCAGAACTTTCCAGAGCCTCTCATTGTTCCAGTCTTATACTTAGTTACCCTCACTCAACGTTCACGACTTCATGAAGTTTGTGATGACATCTTTGCTTATATCAAAAACCGTTATTTTGTTGGTGAACTTGTTGAAGTACTTAGGAATAATGGTGAAAGGTAAGCATATTTGATTTGTGTTACTTTGGATATATATCGATTTTTAATACCTAAAAAAAGTTGAGGCCAACAGTTCATTTCAGTACCTCTCATTACTTAAATTGCTAGAATGTGAGATTAAGCACCAACCATTTTATGACCAATTTTTGTTTTTTGTTTTATCTGGAATATTTGGATTGATAATGTACCAGTTTATAAAACACTCTATTTGTATAGAATAAATGGATTATATATCTAAATCAGGGCTGCACTACCTGTAATTGTAAGGCTGTACAGGTAGTCCTCGCTGAACATCCACTTGTTCAGCGACTGTTCAGAGTTACAATGGCACTGAACAAAGAGGATCTACAATGGGTCCTTGTAGTTGCAGCCATTGCAGCGTCCCTGCGGTCACATGATCACAATTTGGGCACTTGGCAACCAGCTTGCAATTACAACATTGCAGGGTCCTGTGGTCATGTGATCACCATTTGTGACCTTCACTGCCGGCTTGTGACAAGCAAAGTCAGTGGGAAAGCTGGCAGGAGGTGGCGAGCATGTGACTGTGGGACACTGTGACTATGCGGGATTTGCCTAATGACGGCAGCTGGGACTGCCAGAACTGCCATCATAAGTTGGTGTGGTCACGTGACATCATCTTTATGACTACGTTGCTTAGCAATGGAGTGCCCAGTCCCAGTTACTGTCAGTAAGCAAGGACTACCTGAATGTGACTCCTTTGGTTGTAGCTCTTGGTGTGATGGAATGAAATTATGAAGGCCAGGCTCAGGGAGATAAGCACATTCTTAGTTTACCGCAAGAGCATGGGAAGTGCAAGAGGATGAGGCTGGCACCTCCCTGAGGAATTCACGGTGTTGTGACTGGCTGGCTTGGGAGCTAGGGTTCAGTGTGGGGAGATTCTTTCAAGAGTTTATAGCTAATAAACAGAGCAGAACTGAATTTACATCGTCTCTTGGAATTCTTTGGGTTAGAGACAATGCAAATTCAGTTCTGCTGTGTTTATTAGCTACAACCTCTAGAAAGAATCTCC